ATTCTTCTATTGCTTCCAGTCTTCTATTGCCTCTAGTCTTCCTTGATCCTGCCACCAGGGTGACTTTACAAGTGCAAACTGTTCCACACCCTTTCCATACAGTTCTGAATTTGCCTCACACAGTGGGACTTTATCACTATTTCCTTGGTTTCATAGCCCTCCTTTCCTCATGTGCCCACACCCTTTGCCTGTGACATCCTTCTCACTTGCTTAAAAATAAATTTTTATTGTGACCAAACAGATAAAACATAAAATTCACCATTTGGGCCCCATTTTCTTTGTGTAGCTTCTTCTTACTACAGCTGTCTCTGGCTTATGATTTGACTCAGGATTTAACTTTATGATATATACTCAGTGGCAACTGTATTTTCTTTAGGTTTGTGCTGTCGGGGATTGAACCTAGGGCTTCACATAAGTGAAGAAAAGCACTCTACCACTGGGATACCCTACCAGCCCAGAAGTTGAACTTTGAATTCTGATCTTTTTCAAGGATAGCCATATGTAGTACTCTGTTCTTTTATGGTGCTAGGCTATGGTAGTGGGCTGTAGCAACCAGTCAGCCCCATAATTTGTCATATATAAAATGGGCTTTGTGTTAGAGACTTTGCCCAACTGTAAGCTAATGTAAGTGGTCTCAGCATGCTCTGATGTTTAATAGGTTGTTTTTGTTGTTGTTGCTGTTCTGTGTGTATGTATGTGTGTGGTGTATATGCATGTTCATATGGGTATATGCTTGTGTGTAGGTGTGTGTAGAGGCCAGAGGTTGATGTTAACTGGCTTCTTTGATTGCTCTCCACCTTAATTTTTGAGACAGGGCCTCCCATAGACTCTGAAGCTCATTGATTTGTCTAGACTGGCTGATCAAAGAGGTTAAGGGATCTGCCTGTGCGCCCACCCCCCAGCACTGCATACACAAATCTGTGGTCACCTTTTAAGTGGGTGCTGGGGATCTGAATTTAGGCCCTCACACTTGTGGCCCTTTACCAACTGAGTCATCTCCTTGGCTCCATATGTGGATGCTAGGGATCTGAACTTAGATCCTCATGAGTGTTTGCTAAACTAGAGGCAAGAAAAGCAAGTTCAAACCCAGGCTCTGCCATGACTTTCTGTGTGTTCTCAAGCCAGTCACTTAGCATCTTTGTCTTATTTTCAAGTCTGAATAGTCTGTGATTCTAAATCACAACCCTCTCAGAAATTCTTAAGTTCCCTACTGCCTAACTAAACTTAGAGCGAGCCCCTCTACCAACTAAGAACCCTTTGTAATTTGGTTCAAAATCCCTTATTTCTAGCCTGATCACCCATTTCTACCTATTACACCAGCTCTCTACCCTATCTCCCCCTGGTATCTTTACCTACAACACAACTCTACTTTTGCTCAATATTTAATGAGACTCTACAAATTATAACTATGTGCCCACTCTATAACAAGTATCAGGGGCACCCAAAGCCCACTAATGTTACATATGTAGCTTTGTGCAAGCTAGAAAAATGCCTACAAGCAGTCCAAGTTCCTAATGGACTAATGGTATTCATCCCCCAGTCATCCTGATGCAGTGCATTCTGTACAACTGTATTCTGCAGTCTTGGGAAAACAAAGTTAAATAAGACATAGACACTATTTTAGGGAGTCTATAAAGGAGAAACATAAGAAGACAGAGAATATACTAGGGTAAGGGCTCTGATATTGGCAGCACAGGAGAAGGGTATCCAATCTAAGCTGAGGACTCAGAACAGGTTTGTTCAAGAGGTCACACGTCAGTTGAATTTGAAGGACAAGTGTAGATGCTCCTCAGCTTATCATGGGGTAATGTTATTTTCAGTTTACTGTGATGAGTAGAACGTTTCATAAGTCAAGAATACACCTACTTAGGGGGCTGTGGCGATGGCTCAGTGGGCAAAGTATTTACTGTAGGCTCACATTTAATTTAGTAGTGATGAGGGACTTAAGAGGGTTGTGATTTAGAATCACAAACTATTCAGACTTGAAAATGAGATTCAGAGATGCAAAGTAACTGACTCGAGGACATACAGAGAGTCAATGGTAGAGCCTGGGTTTGAACTCGCTTTTCTTGCCTCTAGCTTGGTGCTCCTTCCACACTGTACCCCGAGGAGGCTGCCCAAAACAGGCTGAGCTCTCTAAGCTCCAAGCTGAAACTTCCTGGCTTTGGTGATTCTGCCTCTTCCCTGATGTGTGCTTCTGTTTATGGAAGGTGGAGGGGTACTAGCCGAACAGACTGGGGGTAGCAAGTGTTAGGAAAGACCCTGTCATTCATCACTCAGGTTCATTCCTAGGACAGTTCCTGTGCTGTTGCAGAGTCTCCCTGCTTAAAGCTAGGCTAACATTCATTAGCTTTCTTCTTCAGAGTGCTATTTCTCATCTTACAGTCCTTTTCGCTGCTCATCTCTGGACTTTGGTGTAATGGTTAAACTTGGTTGTCAACTTGATTGGATCTGGAATTAACTAAGGGCCATGACTCCGGGTAAGTCTGTAAGGGCATTTCCTGGAAGGAATAACTGAGAGGGGAAGACACTCCCTCAGAGTGCATAGCACCTTCCAGCAATGGCCCAAATATAAGGGAAAAACTTGCTTTTTGCCTAACCACCTTTGCCCCCTGCTGGTGAGTGCATCTACTCCATTACTGCCACCACTGCTACCATCCTCCACTGATGAGGAAACACAACATCTTCTGTCTTTCACTGTGGATTGAAGACCAGTGGCTCTCCAGGAATCCTCAAGGCCTTCAGTGCCAGATTGGGACTGCGGAGGCATCTAGCCTTATAGACTGAGTAGCTACTTGATTCTTAGCCTCTCTAGTGTGCAGATGGCCACACTGGACAGCCCAGCTCAGACTGTATGCCAATCTAATCAATCTTTGTCAAATACATTCATCCTATTGGTCTTGTTCCTCTAGAGAACCCTGACTAACACATTTGGCCAGTTGCTTCGTATTCCTTCATAGCATTTCTGCCTCTAACTGAAGGCACGTTGTCCATGTCTCAGCGTGTATTAAGCGACTCTTCTGCTGAAAGTGGAAACTGACCCAACCCCAGAAATCTTCTTGAAAGTGGGCTTCTTGGGAGATGCTCTGGGTGCTGTGGGACCACATGAGACCCCTCATAAGGTGAGTTCACTTTATGATCTCACTCAGGAGGCCCTTGCCTTCCTTGCTACATTTCTCTGTAGCTCATTTCCAGACTCAGAATGTTTATTTATTTATTATTTATTTATTTTCATAGTGCTGGGGACCTCACACAAGCTGCATGTGCTCTACTACTAAGCATCACCTCTAGACCTGAATAAATTATTTTACCACTTTCTGTTTTCATGTTTTCTCTAATCTGATTTCCTCCTCTTCTTCCTCCTCCTCTTCCTCTTCAACACAGGTCTCACTATATAGTCCAGGCTGGCCTTGAACTCTTAATAACCCTCTAGCCTCCTGAGTGCTAGAATTATATATATATAAAGTCTACTATATATGTATATATATATATATATATATATATATCCATATATACCACTATGCCCATCTCTGAAGAGCCATTTCTCTGATTTTTTAGCTGGATTGGATCCCTCAAACCTTGATCCCAGGTTGTAAGGGCCTCTGTCTTTTGGCACAAAAGATAATATAATGATAATGATAACATTATCCTTAACTATGCATTGAGCATGTGCTATGATCCTAGTATTGTGCTTACTGCTTTAGACAAAGGAGCTCTCTGGATCCTCACAATATCCCACGGGGTAGAACTATTATTAGCCCCATTTTACATGAAGGAGGCTGAGGCACAGGATTAAATGACTTGCCCACGGTCAAGAGAGGGCAATTACTGCTCATATGCAGTAATTCCTCAGCAGACAAACTCTCAGCTTTCTTGGAGCATTGAGAGGAAGGCCTGGGAAGCTCGAACTGCCTACGAACTGACCAGAGGTCACCAACCGTCACTCTCAGACCAGGTCTTCCCTAAGCAGTCATATCCTCATATGTAGGAGGGACCTGTGCTCCAGCCACCCACAAAGAACACAGCTAGTCCATGAGGCCGGGCTGGATGCAGCCTAATCCCTCCTCTACAGCCATGTTCAACTTTCCCATACCATCACCTGAGGCTCTTTCATTGATCTGGCATAATTAGCTCTTTTAGAAGTCATCATAATTTCCAGCACACAGTGACTAACCCATTAATGGATGATTGTATTCCACAGCTTTCCTGGATAGGAAGTTAAGTGTAATTAACTACTATTAATTAACAGAACACTGTTTCTCTTTAAACCTATAAATTAGACACTCTCCATTCTTGTCCCTTCTCTGCCTTCAGGAGGCCTGGAAGATAAAGCTAGAGGCACTGTGACAAGCCAGTCCTGAGTGCTCTGAGGTGGGGGCCCACAGCATCTGAGACACTCATCCTTCATATTTTTAGTATGGTTTCATATTGGTTGAGTCCACAGGGAATCTTTTCTGACCTTTTGATAAAGACTCCCCGTCAAACGGGTGACCTTCCCTTCCCAAGGTACCCATTGTTCCCTGGGGGACTGGAAACTAAGGCCCTGTGGGGAAAGGAGACTACCTCCAGGGCTGGGCACTATCACCTGCGGTTCCTCCTCCTGCCCCCACCCCCTGACTGTTTGTTCTTTGATTATTTACACCAGGGCTTCTTTTCACTGGGGCGGAAAATTGAGAAGTTACTGTATAAATGAGGAATCTTTCTGTTTCCTTTTCCTTAGACACAATATGGTTCAGTTCAAATGTAGAAAAATTCCTCTGTCCAGGCACATAGCACTTTTAAGGTCCCATGTTCCCTCTAGTAATTAGTTTCCCCGTACCATCGTTTTGTGTTCCCTTGTCAGATGCCTTCTCCACCCCCCCCCCCCAATCCTGAGATTCCTGGACATGACAACCCAGGATCAAAGCCAGAGAGTAAACACCTGTTTGCCATGGTGATGGAGGTGGGGGGTGGGACGGAGATATGACAGACATCTGCAGGCTACCAGCACCTGCACTCACCATGGTTTATCCCTTGGTCCTTTTGCAGAGAAGACCGTGTGCTGTTTGCTGCTGGAGGTAAGAAGATTGTCTTTGGGCGTTTTGAATGGCTTTGAGGTGCTGCTGGCAGCGTTATGGCCGCTGAGACAGGCTTTCGTCTTTGCCTGTGTTAGTGATGTCCGGGGGTTGGAGGCTGGAGATGCTGGAGAGGGAGAAGGCCTGCACATTGAACCATGTCTTCTCTCTACAGGGGAGAAAGGACAGAACTCAGCACACAAACAGTTGTGAATACCACAGGCACATAGCAGGCCTCTTCTGGCAGGGTCAGTATCCCCACAGCTTCTATTCTGATGTTGGCTCTGATGCCAACTAGCAGTAAGTCTAATCTGGATTTCTGTATCAAATGGAATACTTAGCTAACCCCAAGGTTCTCATGGGAGGTATTACTATCCTTCTGCAAAACCACTTCCACGAGAGTAGCAGGGGAATAACCGGGTGTCACCTGACACAGCAGAACAACCACAAAACCAAAATGATCCCCAGTCAGCTACACAGGTCCCCCAGGGCAGTGGGTAGGGCAGAACTCTCAGAAGAAATTCTCTAACAAGACCCTCCATAGAGCAACATGATAGCTGGGGAACCCCTGATACAAAGATCTTTAGAGCCAGGAAGTGGCCTAGCATCGGTCCCTTCCTAGGACCAGAGAGTCTATCTGCTGACACATCCCAGTTATGGCCTCTTTAAGGCTCACTGAAATTCAAGGACACAACATACAGAAGGATATGAATGCCTGAAGCAGAATCCACAGAGATGGGACATGGATTTGGGAGTGCAGATGGCTTCCTGAGGTTCTACAGAAAATATCAGAGGTCTGGGCAGAGGAATCTCAGTTGTTCACCCTGTCAGCTCCCATCTTCTAGGACCAACAAGGAGGGTGCAGATTCTGGCCAAGACAGCACATATAAGAAGTAAAGTTCTGAGAAGGGTGTGCTGGTGCATGACTTTAGTCCCAGTACTCGGGAGGCAGAGGCAGGTGGATCTCTGTGAGTTTAAGGCCAGCCTGGTCTACATAGTGAGGTCCAGGACAGCTGGGGCTACATGGAGACCCTGTCTCCAAAAAAAAAAAAACAAAAGACAAAAAAAGAAGTAAAGTTTTGGGTACACTCCTACTATGATGGTTCTTAGTGGTTTTAGAGTTTGACATAAGCTAAGGGCCCTAGAAAAATTCACATTTCCACATGATCCAAAACTGTATACACTTATGGGGAAAGAAATCTCAAATTCTAAAAAGACCAAAACTCCTGGAATCCTAAGTCCCTTTAGCTCTCTTGTGCTCACAAATAATTAGTGATTAATTAATATTTGCTGAAGAAATGAGCAAAATGACAACAGAAGGCCTTATGGGAGGAACTAGAGATCACAAATCTATTAGTCTGGATTGACGGTGATAAAAAGGAGGAAAAGACCGGGAAGATGGCAGATCATGTTCTCCCTCCAGCCTGGAGTTGGTTCAAGATTTTCTCCTGGGTGAGTCATTTCTGGTTGCTGTGACAGGGAGCTGACCCAGCAGAAGAATAAAAGAGACTATCTTTGACTGTCAGTGAGGTGTTTTGAGTTTTTCTACATCACTCATATCAATGAGCTGTCAGGCTCTCTCAAAGCAGACCAACTGGAATTGGGTGTGGGGAGTAGAATTTGTTAGGATCATATGATTGGTTAGCATTTCTGCCAGAATGTCACTTATTTTTAAAAAAACATTTTATTTATTATTTTTTAATTTTACGTGTATGAGTGTATTGCCTGGATGTAGGTAGGTGCACCTGTGTTGTGCAGTGTTTGCAGAGGTCAGAAGATGGCATTGGATCCCCTGAAACTGGAGCTAGGGATGGTTGTTAGATGCCATGTGGGTGCTGGGAATCAAACCCAGGTCCTCCACAAGAGCAGCCAGTGTTCTTAACAGCTGAGCCATCTCTTCAGCCCCCTGAACATTGTTTATATGCTATTTCCACAGAATAACTGCAGACTGACTAATACTGGGGTGATTTTTCATCACTGGCTCAGAGCAAACCCTGCACACATGCTTAGTTCCCAGAAGCTACCCACTGAAGACTTTGAAAACCAAGATCTAGTCCTGAGGCCCGTTTTGATATTGTAGAGAGAACACAGGGCTGGGAGCAGGACATCCAGCGTCCTGACACCGATATGGAGGGTTTAGGTAAGTTAACTTCTGCGCTCTCTTGTTCTATATCTTCATCTATAAACGCAGTAGGTCCCTAAGGCCTCCTTCCACTCCATGATCATGAATACGATGCATGCTAATACCTGCTCTTTTCTTCTTGTCCCTCACAGTTCCTGGGTATTACAGCAATAATTACAGCAGGAGTATAGAGATACCTCACTTGGGTAGATCTTTGGATGAATTCACTTTTTGTAAGATTGTACTGGCCTTTACAACGCCTGTGAGGCAGGTAGGAAGCACTTAGACATCTCCATCTTCCTCACAGCTGACTGGCCGAAGGAGATTCAGAGAGGTCAGGTGATTTCCAAGGTCAGGGCCAATGGCTACTTGAGGAATAGGGCCTTGGCCATGTGCCCGGCTACCTCTCAGGAAGGAAATGGCAAGTACTATGAACAAAACTGAAGGACTTAGAGCTCCTTTTAAAAGTTAGAACTGGGTCTTCAAAGTGAGCTAGGCTATCAGTCACTAGCCCACAGGCAAAACCTAGTTTGTGGCCATGATGAGGCTAGAACCAAATCCCCTTGCTTTAAATCCACAGTGCTTTGTGCCTCTCAGAACATCTTGTTTACGAATTTCTTTTCTTGGCACAGGTTTCTGATTCTAAAATAAGATTTTGATTTTCACTACAACTCTTTCTTATTTTTCTCTAGTCTTCATTCACACACTTGCTCAAAGCTGGTAGGAATTGGGGTGTGCACAAATATTGCTTAGTAGCCTTTGCTATCTGAGTAACAAAAGCTGTATTTTGCTCAATCAGCTGTTAAAAATTATAGAAGTATTGGGGAAGGGAATGAAGGAAACAAAGGATAACAGCACATACGTTTGAAAATACCATAATGAAACTCATTACACTTTGCATACTAACCCAAAAATATTAATTAAAAATTAAAGTTAAAAAATGATAAGAGGGGCTGGAGAGATGGCTCAGCAGTTAAGAGCAGTGACTACTCTTGCTGGGGGCCTGGGTTCAATTCCCAGCACCCACATGGCAGTTAAGAACTGTTCTTAACTCCAGTTCCAGGGACACCCTCTTCTGACCTCCACAGGTACTGCATGACATGGGTGCAACTCACCTGTGTGCAGGCAATACACGTATACACATAAAAGATAATGAATTAAAAAATGATAAGAGTGAGCAAAGAAGAATCACAAGAAACAGTGTCATTAAGGTTCAAGGAGGGGGTTGGACTGGTGTTTCTGAAGCCATCTTCCTTGGGAAGTCTTAGTCATAGTCTTGACCCATACATTATGCAGTTAAACTTGTATAAAATTTTAAGTCAATGAAATCAATGATATTTCTCAGTTTTATATTTTATGCCCCAAATTCTTTTTTTTTTTTTCCCTTTTTGAGACTGGGTCTCATGGTTCCCCTACTGGCCTTGAATTCACTATGTGGCTCAGGTGACCTTGAACTTTGGATCCTCCTGCCTCTATTTCCCAAGTGCTAGACTTACAGGCCCAAGTCACAACACCCAGTTTATGTGTTGCTAGGGATTAAAACCAAAGCTTTGTGCAAGCTAGGCAAGCATTATATCAACTAAGCTATACCCCCCAGCCTCCATAAATCCTTCTTAAATATCCAATTGAAAGAACAAGTTGCAAAGGAGAGATATTCATTAAACCCTGAAGACCAAGCTTTTTGATCTGTTTAAATCATGATTTTGTATTGAAATAAGTAGGCAAAAGAAATCTATTAATGTTGACCTATGGAGAGGTCAGCATTTCTGTCCCCTGAGTTTTGGGAACAAACTTGCCCCCTACCTGTGCAGGTCAGAAAAGCTACGTAAAGCATTTCATGCACAGAACCAGTAAGAGTCAATGGTCAGGGCTTCACTCAGTGATCTGCAACCCTGCTTTTGAAAATGGGTGGAACTCCTGTCCCAGGTAGGATAGAATGAGTACACTTGCCTGAAAGACCCCATTGGTACTCAATCTGTGGTTCCCTAGTATGTGAAGACCTGCCTGTAGATGCCTTTGCCTTACATAGTTGTGTCTTGATGGAGAGTTGGGGGTGGTGATAAAAGACAGCAGGGATTAAAGGTGTGTGCTACCGGATCCTGCATTTTTTTTTGAGTCAGGTTTTTACTATGTAGCCCTAGCTGGCTTGGAACTCAATATGTAGACCAGGCTGGCCTTGAACTGACAGAGATCTGCCTGTCTCAGCCTCCCAAGTGCTGGGACTAAGGGCACACACTACCATGCCTGGCCCTATTAAAATATTTTATGAACTTAAGCAATGTTAGAGAAAAGATCCTTTCCCTCAGTTATTCGGTCTTTGTTAATGTACACGGGTGTATTAACAAAACTGTACTCAACGGTATTTTGGACTACTCTCTTACTGTGGCATTTAAAAAAAAATAACGTGGGGGTTGGAGAGATGGCTCAGTTGTTAAGAACACTGGTGGGTCTTGCAGAAGACCCGGGTTCGAATCCCAGCACCCACATGGCCGCTAACAACTGTCCGTAACTCCAGTTCCAGGGGATCCGACAGCCTCTTCTGTCCTCCATGGGCATTGCACAACATGGGTGCACTTACCTACACACAGGCAATACAACTAACATATTTATAAAGTGATTTAGGATAATTTTCTTGAGAGAATATCAAGTTCTCAAAGTGAAAGCTTGCAACACCTTATATCTCTTGCTACATGGTTGTTTCCAGGCCACAAATTATTGTATTATAAGTATCATTCAGCTACTCAAGAGAAATCAGAAAATTACTGTGAGAATACCCATGCAGATTTAAATATCCAAACATCAACAATCATCTTAATGAACGATCTTGGACAAACCTTTGGCCTCATCCCTTCTGTCCTTTGGCCACTGTTACTAACAGCATATTAAGAAGAATTTTCTGTGTGCTCAGAGCTCTACTACATATCTGATTTACTTCATATCATTTAATTCTTACAACTTTAAAGAACTTCTATCAGTATTTCCATTCTATAGATGAGAAAGCTGAGACTCAGAGATACAATGAGTTACCCAAAGTCACAGAGCCATGC